GAGTCGACGATTCATTGTGTCTGTGTTTTTTCCTCCTGACAATGAACTGCTTGCGAGCCTCGAAGACCTCGTGACCACCAACGACACTGTGGCCTTCCTCCTCAGGGCACGGTCTCGGCTTTCCACGGGCAGCCGCCGCAGCCCGCTATGGGGCGGCTAACGCCACTGCCTTCATCAGCTCACCAGGATTTGGATGCTGACCTCCCTGGGTGGCATGATGACGCCGAAGAGCTCTCAGGCTGTGATTGCGCAGTCTCCTGTCTAGCCTGGCTCTAGAGCGTGTCGAAAGTCTGATAGATTCGAGCTTTGGCGGCTGAATGTCTCGCTTTCAGTGAGCTGCTTGCAATCCCCAGGATGGTGTACTGGCCCCTTGGTGAGCGAGCACGGGTCGAGAGGTAGCGATACAACCCCATCGTGGAAGAAAAACGTCGTAAACATCAACTTTCGGAGGTCCGCGTTGACCTCCGCGCATTTATGTTTGTCCCGCCATATTTTGTTCAACCGACTCGGCCTCGACCGCAGTGCAAATCAAAATCGCCAGGCAAGCCCGGAGCACCACGCAAACCGACCAGCGATGGGCAAACTCGTGCACCGAACCGTGGCCTGAAAGATGAGCGAGCGTGCCGCATGAGGAAGGAGAGCAAGAAGCGATGGGGGAGAGACCGCCAGAGGGAGCGGGAGGCACAGAGAAGCGAGATTCCTGCTGCAGTCGAGCAGCGGCTGGCACTAGAAACGGCCTGTACAGATACAGTCGGACACGCACGAGAGGGACGACAACAACAACAACTGCACACGCCGCTCCGGCAGGGCGGGCAGGGCGGACGGAAGCCGAGGTTGGCCACGTCCACGCTCCACATCCACACGGTGTCGGAAGAAGGAAGGAGGAAGGAGGAAAGGAGGGGGAGGAGGAACACCGGGCGCCGAGACACACTCTGGTGCTCCAGGCGGTGGCGAACAATCAAAGCCTAAGCCTACGTAAGCGCCTGAGTGACAGGGTCCTCCCTCCACCCTCCTCCCTCCTCCTCCTCCTCCTCCTCCTCCTCCTCCTCTTCCTCCTCCTCCTCCCCGTTCCTTCTCCTCCTCCTCCTCCCCGTTCCTTCTCCTCCTCCTCCGTTCCTCCTCCTCCTCCCCGTTCCTCCTCCTCCTCCTCCTCCTCCTCCTCCTCCTCTTATGGAAATCATGGCTGGGAGAGCGTGGCCAGCCACACCACAATTGGCCCGACCCACGGGCCTCGACGCGCGACCTGCGCAGACGCGACGGCGCCGGTGCTCTGGCGCGGTGGCCGCCTCGGAGAGGCCGCACGCCTCGCCCCGCAGCAACGAGAAGGCGAGGAGGGGAGGGGGAGGGGAGAGGGGAGGGGAGGGGAGAGGGAGGGGGAGGGCAGGGGAGGGGAAGGGAGAGGAGGGGGAGGGGAGGGGAGGGGAGGGAGGGGGAGGGCAGGGGAGGGGAGGGGGCGGCAAGAACGGACTCACCCTGCGATGCCGCAGGCGCGGCGCAGCCAGGGCAGGCCAGCGCAGGCCCGTCGGCCAGCACGGCGGCCAGCCCGTCGGGGGAGGACGGCAGGGCCTCAGCGGCCTCGTCGGCACCGCTGCCGCCCGCGCGGGCCGCTGCAGGCCCGTCACCGCCTCAGGCGGCGCGCGCGCGCCAAGCGCTGCAGGCGCCAGCCTTGGGCATCCTTGGGCTCCGAGGCCGCGCCGCCCCGCCGCGGGTAAGGGCCACGTCAGGGGCCGAGCCTAGCGCCAGCCCGACAGAGCCGCGCACCCCGACCCTGCGGGTCGCGCGGGACAGGGACGGGGGGGGGTGGGGAGACGAGAAGGACGGGGGTGACCAAGCAGCAAGCGGGAAGGAGGAGGGGAAGCGGAGGCTGGGGAGAGGAGGGGCATGCCATGCCCGTTCCCACTCTGCCTGTCTTCTCTGCGACGACGGATGCCTGCCGGAGCGTCGGAAAACCTTCTGGGGGTCTCCTGGGGTGCCTGGTGGTCTTTCCTGGCAATCTTTTCAGGGCCCTCTTCGACTGTTCCTGGGGCGCGCTGTAAGCATCGTGGGGCATCCGGCGCCGTGTTGGGCGCGTGGGGCTCGGAGGGCTTCTTCGAGGCTTCTTGGGGCCTTCCCTGGGAGCCTCGAACACGGCACCACAGCTCGGAGGAGGAGGAGGAGCAGTTTGACGACCTGCTCAGATCGGAGCAGCTTCACGACCTACTCGTGCCCGACCTGCCAAGGTCGAGCAATTTTCTGCCCGAGGCAAATTTCCTGTTCTTTCGCGCGGGTTTCTTGGATCTGTGCTGAACTGAATGGGCCCCAGGACCCAGGACACACAAATAGATACACTTTTTTGGGCGGCGGGGCGAGAGCGAACCTCTTCCGCTAAAAGCTAGGCGGGCTACGCACAGCTTTAATTAGGAAGACAGGGCACAGGAAGGCGAGGCCTCAGGCGGCCCACAAATAGATACGCGCACATCCAAAGATTCGGTTTCTGCATTCCCCCCCCTGCCCATGTTTTCCCCGGAGGAGGAGGAGGAGGAGGAGGAGGAGGAGGAGGAGGAGGAGGAGGAGGAGGAGGAGGAGGAGGAGGGAGGAGGAGGAGGGGGAGGAGGAGGAGGAGGAGGAGGGGCAGGAGGAGGAGGAGCCGACGATTCATTGTGTCTGTGTGCTTTTTCTCCCCTCCTGATGCCCCCCGCCCTCGCGCGTGGAGGGCGGCCGGGGGGCGGCGGCGCTGGAGGCGCCGCCGCGGAGGCCCAGCGCCGATGCAGGGGAGCCGCGCGGAGCTCCCGAACAGATGGGATCGTGCCGCTTTTGAAAACGGGCCCCGGGGCACACAAATAAGCAGACACAAGAGTGACAGGATTCCAAGTGTTTTCCTCCATTTTCTGGGTCCTGGTTCCCCCCCCCCCCCCCACCACTTCCCATATTCTCCCATATGTTCTGGGGAATCGCGGACTCATGGTGTCTGTGTGCTTCTTTTCCCCTCCGGAGTTTTTTCCTGTCCTGTGAGCGGCGGGGGCAGGAGGACGGAGACGGGGGAGTGGGCGGCGAGCAGTCGCCCCCTCGGGGCGCCCTGCCGCAGCAGAGCGCCATGCCACGACAGAGGGCCACTCGCACTGCCGGCGGGAGGGGGGAGCGGGAGAGGACGACGAGGACGAACTACGAGGACGGCGCGAAGGGAGGAGAGGCGAATTATCGCCCTCTCGAGGCGTCCTGCGGCAGCGTGCATGCACGCCGTCGCGTGCAGACATTCGCTTGGCACTTCCTATTCCCCCGCATCCAGAATTGGTGTCGTGCTTCCTCTGCACACTCCCGCGCAAGATATCCTTCTTCGTTCCCTCTCTTCTGCACTCACATTTACGCATTCATGTACTCATACACGCATCATCATCATCAGCAGCATCATTACCATCACTATCATTATCACTATCATCATCATCATCAGCAACATCATCACCATCATCACCATCATCAACAACGTCATCATCATCATCATCATCATCATCATCATCATCATCATCATCATCATCATCATCATCATCATCAACATCATCATCATCATCATCATCATCATCATCATCATCATCATCATCATCATCATACACACTCACTCACTCACTCACTCACATTCACTCACGTTCACGCATCACTCACCCATTCATCACCATGTCATGATCACCACCATCGTCCTCACCACAATCGCCAACATCGTCATCATCAACATCATCGCCGCTACTACCACACGCACGCACTCACTCACATATGCACTCATCATCATCATCATCATCATCATCATCATCATCATCATCATCATCGCTGTAATCATCCCATCACGGTCATCCGTCATCATCATCATCATCTTTCCATCTTGAGGAGATCTCTCGACTGGGGGCCTCGTCTGTGAGTGATTTGCGAGGAAGTCTCAGCCGGCAGCCCCCTCTCTATGGGACCCAAAGCTCATAGTGCTAATCCGAGGGGGCCATCGGAATCCTGAAACTGTCGTCGCGTTTGGCCTCGGCAAGCTTGAGTATGGAGGAAGTCTCGAGCGAGGGCCTCGTCTGTGAGTAAGTCTCAGGCGGGAGCCCCCTCCCTATGGGGCCCGCAGATTGTGTTAGTAATCCGAGCGGGTCGCTAGCCTACTATGGCAGGCATATCACTGAGCACCCCGGGGGCAAATCGTGAGGATTTCTCGAGCGGGGGCCTCGTCTGTGAGTGATTTCGAAGAGTCTCAGGCGGGAGCCCCCTCCCTCTGGGGCCCGCGAGTCCAACAAGTCGCACCGGTCGCACAGCTCCCATGGGCCCCCACAGGTCTCCAATGCCCCACACGGCGCATCCTGATATCGTCGCATCTTGTCATCATCGCCATCGTTAGAGTGGGGGCACTCAATAAGGAAGCCTTCGATAAGGAACCCAGGGCCTGGAAGCCGATGGAACTTCAATCGTGGATCGGGGATGGATATCATCGCCGCCCTCATCACATAAGGAAGCCTCGAGGATCTGCAGCCTCCTGGGCACATTCCTTATCGAACGCCCCCACCGTAGCCCTCCCTGAAGATGGTTCTGACCCATGCTAGCGAGATTCTCATGTGATCTCCTTCCGTCACGTCTGTCGTAGTGCGTTCTCTGGCCTTCACGTAACTTCTTCTGGCCTTCATCCAACCTTTCTGAAGGGGCCCTGGGACACACAAATAAATACACACAAATAAAACGATTCCCCATCTTTTCCCATATTTTCTGGGCTTTTGTCTTCCCGCCCGATTCGCATATTTTCCTATCTTTTCCTGGTGATCGACGATTCATTGTGTCTGTGTGTTTTTTCCCCTCCTGACTTCAGGCCTTCTGCACCCCTGCAGTCGTGGAGGGCGGCTCCCTCTCACGGCAGGCGCCCCGGGGCGCCCGGCTCCCCCGCGGGAGCGCTCCCTCGGAGCGCAGGAGGAGCACTTGCCGTCGCTCGGACGTCCATTTCCCGTGTATTTTTCGGTTTCGTGCGTGTTTTTGTGCTCGATGGTCCAGGATGGTCCTCGATGGTTCTCGCCGAGAAAAAAATTCACACGCCCGAGCGATGCCGAGAGTACGGCAGGCGGCACCGACGATCCGACACCTGGCAGCAAGGGGTCTAGGGGGCACGTGCGCAGTCGAGCTTCGAGCTTCCCGAGGCGTCCCAGGGCTCCTGTGGGCCCCCAGGGCCATCAGGGGAGGCCACCTGCTGGCAGGTCGGGCTCTTCCAGGACGCGTGCCTGCTGTATCTGCCAGGCACGGAGCTCGGGACCAACAAGCGGACGGTAGCCTTGCAGCCGGGTGGGCGCGCGGGCGGGGAAGTGGCAGGATGCAGCCAACGACAGGGCGGGCATTCCTTCCGGAGGCGGGGGAGAGGAGGCGCGCGTGCCCGCTGGGTCTCACCACGGCGTGGCCAGCACAACGGCGCGAGGCAGAAGATCGCCAGCCAGAGCAGGAACGTCGCGCGAGCCGGCCTGTCGGCAAGGGTCTCTGGGGCGGGCAGCCGGGCAGTGGCCTTGCATCCGGGTGGGCGCGCTGGCAGGGAGAGGGGGCATGCTGCAGGCGAGCGCTGCCGCCCCCCGCGAGGGCGGCGGGAAGCGACAGGACGCGGCCCCAAAGCCACTCCTAGAATGCCGACGATGGACGACGACGGCGATCGACCTAACTATTTATGCAGGTGCACGGAACGTGCTCACCGAATCTGCTTGCCACTGCTGCCACCAGTGCCCCCGTCCACGAGGGCACAGGGGACGAGCGGGTATATTACAGCATCGCCGATGCATCCTGGATGTAATCTCGTCCTCCTACCCCCTCCTTCTCCTCCTCGCCCTCCTCCTCGCCCTCCTCCTCCTCCTCCTCCTTCTCCTCCTCCTCCACATTCTCCTCCTCTTGCTCCTCCTCCTCCTCCTCCTCCTCGCTCCTCCTCGCTCCTCCTCCTCCTCCTCCTCCTCCTCCTCCTCCTCCTCCCCCTCCTCCTGCTGTTCTTTCTCCTCCTCGTCCTCCTCCTCGTCCTCCTCCTCCTCCTCCTCCTCCTCCTCGTTCTCCTCTCACAGATGGAGGGCGGGTGGTTTTCAAAATGTGACTATCGCCTGGGCGCCGCGCACATGGTTTTTAAAGTCTTACAAGCGTTTCACAGAGTGAGGGCGGGTGGTTTTCAAAATGTGGCTCTCGCCGTAGCGCCGCGCACATTCGTGTAAACAACCTGCAAGAGTTTCACGGATCGAGGGCGGGCGGTTTTCAACATGTGGCTCTCGCCTTAGCGCCGCGCGCATTCGTTCAGAACGTTTGCAATAGCTTCACGGACTGAGGGTGTGCCGTTTTCAACATGTGGCTCTCGCCTTAGCGCCGCGCACATTCGTTTAGAACATTTGCAAAGAGTTTTACGGATTGAGGGCGGGTGGTTTTCAAAATTGGCTCTCGCCTCAGCGCCGCGCACATTCGTTTGAAAACTTTGCGAGGGTTTCACGGATTGAGGGCGGTTCCTTCTTAACAGGTGGCTCTCGCCTTGGCGACGCGCACATTCGCTTAGAACAGTTGCAAGAGTTTCACGAATTCCCATGGTCAACGTGCCAGAAATTGTGTTGTGGAAAGATTCAGGACTACGCGGGTGCAACATGTATTTCAATTCGTGGTGTTGAAATCCTATAAATGGTGTTCTCGTGCGATTCTTGATCGTCAAGACGCAGCAATCAGGTTGATCCGAGGCGTTGAACTCCCGAGACCAATGTTTTGGCATGCTTCAGGGTCTTCAAACGGTTCTTCCAACGAGGCAGTTCCCTCAATGGAAAGGAACCGTTGTAGGGGCCTACGAAGAGGGAGCTTGGAGGGAGGGTTAATTCCAACATCGTTGATGACTCTTGGGTTTACACTGGCCCTCCTCCTCCTCCTCCTCCTCCTCCTCCTCCTCCTCCTCCTCCTCCTCCTCCTCCTCCCCTGGAGACCCTCTAGATGGGGTCCAAGCAGCTGGGGTCAGGAGATCACGCTGCATTTCCAACGCATTGCCAATTCATCGTAGATGCAACGGCGACGTCGGCGATGCATCGGCGACGTCGGTGTGGAGAACATTGGGCTCCACATGCATCGGTGATGTGGCATGATCCTCCGACCGCATGTAGTCCAGCCACATTTGGGAGACCAGGATCTTCCTCCTACATGGCCCGCATGATGCGGTTATTAGTCCATGCGGTCACAGATCGCAGCGACGGCTCCGGTGTGTGGCAGCCATGGGAGGGAGAGAGAGGGGTTATTGTGCCACAGGACGCTCCAACACGTGGACTGGGAGACGCAATGGGGAGAGGGAGGGAGGAGTCCTGATGCTGCTTGGTTGCGATGAGCTGGACCTTCATTCGCGTCTCGCGCCTGGCGCAACGCATGAAGAGAAACAGAGCTCGGGGGCCCCGTAAACGAGGACCTTGGCAAACCCAGAAATTGGCGCACCCGCCAAAACTGAGGCAATGGTGGTGGAATCATCATCCGCAGTAGCACTAACTTTCGGAGGCCCGCGCGGATTTCTTGGATCGGCGCTGGACCCCCCTGGAAGCGCCGCCAAGCGGTTCCAGCGCCGATCCAGCCAACCCGCGCAGGCTTGCGAATGCTAATGCTTTTGCTCGTCTCGGGTGATGCCAGCAATGGCCCTGGCCCAAGGTGACCACGGGCCCGGACGGCTTCCAGAGCACCCTTCACGAGGCCCAGAGGGCCCCAGGGGCTCCAGCATCGAGTGAACTCCTGGGGACACCTCGGACCAGGGGCACCTCCAGCAACCCCCGTCTTTCGGCGTGGGGTCGAGCCGTTCTCCCACCAGGGTCTTCTCCCGCCGGACCTTGCCAAGCCCTGGCTTGCAGTGGCCTTCGGCGGCCCGGAAGAATGCAGCGAGACGCTGGGGACGCCTCGGGCCAGGGGCACCTCTGGCAACCCCCGACTTTCGGCGTGGGCTGCACCATGCTCCAGTCGAGGCGCGCTGCCGCTCCCGCATCCCCTCGCGCCCGCTCGCTCGGTCGCTCGTTCGCTCGCCCTCCTCGCTCCTCCTCCTCGCTCCTCCTCCTCCTCGCTCCTCCCGCTCCTCCTCCTCCTCCTCCTCCTCCTCCTCGCTCCTCCTCCTCGCTCCTCCTCCTCGCTCCTCCTCCTCCTCCTCGTCGCCCGTCGCTCCTCGCTCTTCGCTCCTCCATCCTCGCTCCTCAGCCACCGCCGCCTCCCGCCGGACCCTGCGGAGCCCAAGGCCTCCCCGGGGGGGCCGGGAAGAGCCTGCGTGCCTGGGGGGGCGGCCGGCCCCCCCCTGCCCGCCCGGCCCTCCCTCTCCCGCGCTCCCCTCTCCAGGCCCCCCCCCCCCCACTCCAGACCCCCTCGAGTCATGAAAAAATCATGACGGGAGGTTTCTCCTAAGTTTCGGCCTCTGGGGGCCCTCACCGGGCCTCGGGAGCGTCAAAAAACGGCTCAGGATGCGAAGCCGGTCATGGGGAAAGGGTCGGGACCTCTGGGGGTCGACGTAATGAAAAAATCATTACGTCGGGGGTCTGGGAATCTAGTCCAATCTGGAGAATTGAAGCCAGCCTAGGGGAGGGAGTGGAGTGGGAGGATGGAGGGGCGATCGGGGGCAGAGCGAGCGCACGAGAGGCAAGGCAACGGAGGCGGCGCGCTGGCAATCACAAGCGAGCTCCCCTCGTTTCTGTGCGTGCGGCACTTCTTTCCTCCTTCTTCTCCTCCTCCTCCTCCTCCTCCTTCCTTCTTTCTGCCTTCCTTCTTCCCGCTCGCATGAGGCGGCCCCCTATCGGGTCGCCCGCCCGGCCAGGCCCCCCGGCGCCAGCACTTGCAGTTTCCGCGGGTGGGTCCCCTAGCGCCCAAGCGACCTCTCCCCGCGGCCAGGGGGCGTGGTGGGTGGCGCCCGACGCCGTCGTGGAGGGCCCCTGCACGCCAGCTCCCTGGAGAGGGGGTCCCCCGGCGGCGGCCCCCCCCCGAGGACGGGCCGGACGAGTGCCACTCGGGGGTCGCCTCTGGCAGCCCCGCTGGGGGCGGGTGTCTACCGGCAGGCGCTCTCGCCACAGCGGGGTGGCCGTGGGGCGGCATCAGGCCAACGCAGCCCCCCCCCCAAGACGCGCCCGAGCCAGCCGCCAGGTGCCCCCGACGGCGCCCGGGTGCGGCCCGTAGCAAGGATAGCCGACCCAGACATGCGAAGTCCTGATTTTTTCAGGACGTCCCGACCCTTTCCCCGGGACCGGTTTTTCGTCCAGAATCGTTTTTTGACGGTCCCGAGGCCCGGCGAGGGCCTCCCGGGGCCGACAATAGCGAAAAACCTCCGTCCCAATTTTTTTACGACGTCATCATGTCTGGGGAGCCATCATTCAGCTACGCCTGAGCTGGCCGGCCCTGGGCGCTCGCCGGCGAAGCCCTGGGCCCCTCCGAGCCTTCCGAGGCGCTCGCGGCGAGCCCCGAGACGGCCCCAGGCCCGGGCCCTGCCGCGGGGCCGCCCACCTCGGCCCCCCGGGCCCGCGCACCATCTGAGACGTTGCGTATTCCAGACTTTTTTTTTTCCTCCTCCTCCTCCTCGCCAGCGCGGTGATCCTCAGCAAGAGCCCCTCGCGCCTGGCCCTCCCTCTGGCGCAGACCTGGGCCTGGACCCTATAGGGCAGGGGCGGGCAGCAGGACGGCCCCGCGAGGCCCCGGGCCAGCGGGCAGCCCTCGGGGCCATGGAGCAGGACAGGCCAGGCCCGCAGCAGGGGGCGAGGGGGGGAGGCCAGCGCCGAGGACAACATCGAGGGGGGGGAGGGGGGCGGGGCAAGGCAGGGAGGCGAGGCAGCGGGAGCCAGAGGCAAGGCACTGGGCCGCGACTGCACGGCATTCCTCTGGCTGCCCCGCTCCGACCGTGCGAGGGCTGCCGCGCGGCTGCCTCCCGCCGCCGCGCTGCCGCGCTGCGCGCCCAGGCCGTGGCCGCCGGCCCCGCGCGCGCCACCGCCGCTGCGGGCTTCGGGGCCTCCTGCGCCCCCCCCCCCCCCGCCGCCTCGCGCAGGAATGCACGCCCTGCAGGGCG